TTGCTCTGTCATCCAGGCTAGAGTGCAGTGGTGTGATCGCAGCTCACTGCAACCTCCTCTTCCCCAGTTCAAGTGGTTCTCCTGCCTCATCTCCTGAGTAGCTGGGATTACAGGCATGTGCCACCACACCCAGCTAATTTTGTATTTTTAGTAGAGACAGGGTTTCTCCATGTTGGCCAGGCTGGTCTTGAACTCCTGACCTCGTGATGGGCTTGCCTCAGCCTCTCAAAGTGCTGGGATTACATGCGTGAGCCACTGTACCCAGCTGAATTTTTTTTTTTTAAGCAAGCTTTCTGTTTTCTCTGTGTTTTTCCTCTGAAACTGCTACAGAATTATATGTGCAGCACAAGGAAGTAAGTTAGAAAACAGGTCTTGAAACTTTCACTAGTTAATATGGATCTCTTTTTAGTATTACCAGTGGGCTGGTACAAATCAGTGTGTGGAATTGATGAAGAAAACTTAGTAGTATTGAGTGTTCTTTAGTACACTATGTACTAAAGAATGTCAGAGGGTTTTTATGTAGGGAAGATCTGCAGCTTATAAATGCTTAAAGAGGAGGGTTATATGCTAAGCATTGATGCTGGTGAAAAGAAGGTAAGTGAGACATGGCCTTTGCCCTTGAAGAATTTATAAACCAGGAGGGAAGCCAGACACAAACAAGGCAAACTTGTCACATGGTGTAATTAGGGCATTAATAAAGTTGTGTGCCAAGTGGCGCTGTGGGAACATCTTGGCTAGTGTTACTCTTCAATCTGGAAGAGATTGCAGTATGTAGTACTGGTGAGGTGCTATTTTTTTTTTTCTTTTTTTTTTATGAGACAGATCTTGGCTTCCCAGGCCAGAGTACAATGTTGTGATCTCAGTTCACCTCCTGGGTTCAAGTGATTCTCCTGCCTCAGCCTCCTGAGTAGCTGGGATTACAGAGTAGCTACACCTGGGTAATTTTGTATTTTTAGTAGAGACGGGGTTTCTCCATGTTGGCCAGGCTGGTCTTGAACTCCCGACCTTAGGTGATCCACCCACCTTGGCCTCCCAAAGTGCTGGGATTACACGCCTGAGCCACTGCACCTGGCCGAGGTGGTATTTCAAATGTAGTAAAATTAGGACGTTTGGGGAGATCATTCTGAAGTAAAGTAGATAGGATGTGCTAGGGAAAGTAAAATTAAGGTTTTTTAGTTGGGGTGGGATGAAATTGTGATATTATACTTGGTAGAGCTGAGAGGATAGTAAAGTAGGATTTGTGGAAGCTAAGGGGGAAAAGGGCATTTCTAGGTGACTAGAGTGATTGCCAGATTTATATACTGTAGACTGGTCCTTAGAATTTCATAGTTAATAAGTTAGAGGACTTCTAGCAGCAGATACTTAGGTGTGGTAGAGGCAGAAGCTGAATTCCAGGGGGTGTGTCTTCTATTTTCTAATTGGGTGACTTCTGTTTTCTGATAAAAGCTCAGAATTCTCTTCAGTAATTGGTACCAATCATGTGACCCTTAAAGTCCTGTATCCTGGTAACTTACCTACCTAGATCACTTCTATTAAGTTGTAAACCCCTTGGTACATCCCACAGTCACTGTTCATCAAGTGCCTGTTGAATGAAGGAGTAGGTAATGCTCACTAAAAAAAAGTAAAAGCAATCCGAGTGTCCCTAAAAGGCAGGTAAGTAAGACTTTTTCAAGAAGATGTAGAAACTGATACTAGAATTGCTGCCTAAATACTTGCTTTGGCAATGAAAGTGTTCTTTATTTTATCTTGGTGTCTGACACACTAATCTGTCCTGTGCTGCTTCAAAGAAGCATTTGCCAATTTAAAAAATGTAGGGCTTCTTGAAAACTTAGCATGCCGATTTGGATCACTGAAGTAAGTGGACTGATAGGCAGTTAGCAACAATAAAATAATTCTTTTACTCCATCGCCTTTGGGAATTAGAAGTGAATGGTTTTATCCTAAGTACCAGTGGCTTACATAAGATTCTAGCCTCTTGAGGACTGGAGTCTTTTGAATTTGGCAACTTACTGCTTTTCTTGTTTTCCCTCTGCAGTATCTCTGGTTATGGGTTTTATGTGACATAGAAAACAAAAATAAAACCTTTTAATCCACAGGACAATCAGAAGTGAGAATTTTGGCACGTTTACATGTGGATTGGGCGATTAGTTTAGGTCCACGGTGCAGTATCAGGATACAGGTGTCTTTCAGAAGTCCCTGAAACTAAATAGCTTAAAGGAATGACTGTTGCTACTTGTGCATTTAGTCCAAAAACGAAAAATATTGCATATCCTTAGTTTAAATGCTAGAGGACTTAAAGAGGATTGCTTGAGCCCAGGAGTTCAAAACCAGCCTGGACAACATAGCAAGACCTTGTCTCTACAAAAAAATTAAAAATTAGCTTTACGGTCCTTTGCAGTCATAAAAGCCTTATTTTTAATGTGAGTTAAGCCTCATTCCAAATTACATTTGGATCTAAACAAGCTGGTCTTCTGTATGTTTCCTCTAATATCGTAGTTCTGCAGACAAAAGTGTTTTACATTTTATAACTTATTTCTCTCACCTGATTAAAAATACCATGTACTTGTTCAGGAAAGACATAAGCAACTTGATCCACATAGAGCTTTACATGAGCCATTGTCATTTTACAGTATTACTCTAAGCTGAGATAGGATCAGGGCTAGGAATTGGTGGGAGGGAAAAAAGAGGGGAGATGAGTGACTCCATCCATGCAAGATAACATGAATTATTTTTGAATCTACTCTCATCGTTACCATTCCACTGGAACTGCTTGTTAAGCTCATTGAACTCTATGTCATGAAGTGCATTGTCTGCTTTCATTTCTTACCTAGACCTGTTGACATAATTTGATACTTGATTATTCTTCTTTTTTTTGTTTTGTTTTTTTTTGAGGTGGAGCCTCTCTCTGTCGCCTAGGCTGGAGTGCAGTGGCGCCATCTTGGCTCACTGCAACCTGTGCCTCCCAGGTTCAAGTGATTATCCTCCCTCAGCCTCCTGAGTAGCTGGGATTATAGGCGTGTGCCACCACGCCCAGCTACTTTTTTGTAGTTTTAGTGGAGACTGGGGTTTCACCATGTTAGCCAGGATGGTCTTGGTTTCCTGACCTCATGATCTTTCCGCTCTGGCCTCCGAAAGTGCTGGGATTACAGGCGTGAGCCACCGCACCTGGCTGATCATTCCCCTTTTAACCTGGTTTCCAAAATACCACTTACTACTTACCTCACACCCTTCTGTCTTCTGATCTTTAAAGCCTGCAGTACCCCAGGGTTCCTCCTTGGACCTTTTCACTTTATCTGTACACACTTATTCGCTTGATCATAGTCCGTAGTATTATAAACCATCTATACACCAATTCCCAAACTTACAGTTCTGATCTCTTCTCTTGATTTCTGAACTTGAACATACAGCTGCCCTTGGATATCTAATATTTCACATTTATGAAACTAGAGCTGTTGATCATCTCTTATTAAAAATAATAGTTCCTTCGACAGCCTCCCCCTTATCAATTGGTGGCAACTTCATCCTTTTCATGCCATAAACCTTAGTGTACCCTGACTCTTGTCACATTCTACTTTCTTTCTACTGGCAAATTCTATTGTCTGTACTTTCAAAATACAGACAGAATTAGGTAATTTCTTACCACCTCCTTAGCATCAAACCTTGTCCAGGCTACCATCTTGTGCCTGGATTATCGATAGCCCCATAATTGTATCCCTTAACCTATGTTATTTAACTTCCTTACACATAATATTGTTAACAGCTTCTTGTATATCCTCTTGGAGATATGTTATATAGAATTTTATATAGATATGTGTATATATAGAATACGTGTATATAGAATATATATATTGTATATATAGAATATTATATATAGAATATATATATAATGTTATATATAATGTTATATAGATATATGTATATATAGAAACATTTCTATTTTGTCAGTGGCTGCATGATCTGGTGTGTGTGTATGTATGTATATATGTATATACACACATCTGTGGGTTTCAGATTTGAATAGATTGAGATTTTATTACCTTTAATAGTTTTCATTATTTTACTTTTTAAAATGCAGTTCATCTGGGGAATTTGATAACAAAGGTTAGGGAAAGGGTCCATCTTTAATTTTTTTCAGATGGCCGCCCAGTCATTCAAGCCCAACTTACTAAATCACTTTTCCTCCTAATTAAGAACTTTTATGTAATATTCCTTTATTGGTCTGCTCACAGAAGTTTACATAGTTTTGGGTGGTTCATGAACTGTATTGTTAGGAGCCACCAATTTTTAAATGCTCCTAAGAGAGCTGTTCTTAGTAAGGTGCTTTTTATATTCTTTCAGACATGTCATAAGTCTTCCCTTGGTATCCATGGGGGATTGGTTTCAGGACACCCCTGTAGATACCATAATCCACCAATACTCAAGTCCCTTATAATAAAACAGTATAGTATTGGCATATAACATATGCACATCGTCTTGTATACTTTTTTTTTGAGACAGAGTCTTTTTCTGTCACGAGGCTGGAGTACAGTGGTGCGATCTCGGCTCGCTGCAACCTTTGCCTCCTGGGTTCAAGCAATTCTGCCTCAGCCTTCTGAGGAGTGGGGACTACAGGTGCCAGCCACGACACCCGGCTAATTTTTGTATTTTTAGTAGAGATGGGGTTTCACCATATTGGTCAGGCTGGTCTCAAACTCCTGAACTTGTGATCTGCCTGTCTTGGCCTCCCAAAGTGCTGGGATTATAGGCGTGAGCCACCGCATGGGGCCCCATCTTGTATACTTTAAATCTTCTCTAGATTACCTAACAATACCGAATACAGTATAAATACTATGTAAATAGTTGTATTGTTTAGGGAGTAATGATAAGGAAACAAGTCTACACGTTCAATGTAGACATAGTCATCCTTTTTTTCCAATATGTTTAATCTGTGGTTGGTTGAATCCACTGATGTAGATCTCATGGATATGGGGGCTGACTCTTGTTTTGAGGCATAGACTGGTTGGTATAAGTATTAAAATGGAATTAGGAAATAGTAACTGTCTTCTGGTTTTCTTAGATTTGGGAATGGATGATGAAGGAGATGATGACCCAGTTCCTCTACCAAATGTTAATGCGGCAATATTAAAAAAGGTAAGGTCTTTAAAGAGTTTATTCTACTTATAATACTAATTGATTAATTTAAGTAATTCAACAATCTATATTAGAATTTATTGCTTAAAATTACTTTTAAATTTGAATGTTCTTTAACGCTTGAGTGATGTTTGTATGTTCTTAAAATACATAGAAAAAAGCTCTGTCTGCTTCTTTGCCACAGTTGACTATTGTCATTGATTGGGCATCTGTACTACGTATACCTATGCAAACACTTCTCTAGGAAGGATGTCTGGATCATAGGTTGTAGAATATCTGGATCACAGGATGGCTTATATACCTAAATTTTGATAGATATTGTTAAATAGTCTTCTGGAAAGATACCACTTTTATAGCATGGTGGAATTGAATCGTGACTACCTTTCTTAGATTTGTATTTTTGAAATGGCTAAAGTCAAAATAAAGGAATATGTAACACTTTGTTCCAATTTCTGCCTTCTCTATTCCAGTCCCCTTCGAGGTAGTGATTTATCCTTTTTGTAATACAGGTATTAACAAATAAGTATGTTCCCCCCCCATTCTTAAAGTAGCAAACTATACATTTCTATGGTTTTTTTTTTCATATAACAAAAGGTGATTTGTCTATGTTAATGCATGACATCTTTTTTAAAATTTTTTTTGAGTTGGAGTCTCACCCTTTCACCCAGGCAGGAGTGCAATGGCATGATCTTGGCTCACTGCAACCTCTGCCTCTTGGGTTCAAGCCATTCTCACCTCCCGGGTAGCTGGGATTGCAGGCATGCGCCACTATGCTTGGCTAATTCTTTTGTATCTTTAGTAGAGATGGGGTTTCACCATGTTGGCCAGGCTGGTCTCGAACTCCTGAACTTGTGACCCACCTGCCTTGGCCTCCCAGAGTGCTGGGATTACAGGTGTGAGTCACTGCGCCTGGCCAGCATCCTTTTTTGTTTTTTCTCTAACTTTTGGTGTGATTATGACTCTGAGTATCTGTTGAAGTTTTTTCATCCATGCTGTGTGAATATTTTAATTATTTAGTCTTTTGCATTAGCATATTTAAATTACTGCAATACAATAGTATATGCTTAGCAAAAAGATAAAATTTTTGTATTAATATTTTTCACTGAATGAGTGTACCTTAAAAGGAGCGTAAGAATGATGTGTTTTTGTGGTTCTTTTTCTTAATTGATCACTTTACCTTGTGTTTGAGCATAAACAGTTCCCCACATTGACTAGGATTTTAGTGTTTGAGGGCATATAGCTGTGTAATAGTGTGAGTTATTTCATTGGATGATAAAGAGCAGCCTTTTTCCACATTGGGGCAAAAACTGGCTAGACTTTGAACTGGGGACGTTCACCTCCGGTTGTCCCCTTCTTTCAGGATTCACTAAAGGTCACCAACCCAATGCAGTTCATTTTATGCTTTCTTTCTTTTTTTTTTTTTTTTGAGACGGAGTTTCACTCATGTTACCCAGGCTGGAGTGCAATGGCACGATCTCGGCTCACCGCAACCTCCCCCTCCTGGGTTCAGGCAATTCTCCTGCCTCAGCCTCCTGAGTAGCTGGGGTTACAGGCACGCGCCACCATGCCCAGCTAATGTTTTGTATTTTTAGTAGAGACGGGGTTTCACCATGTTGACGAGGATGGTCTCGATCTCTTGACCTCGTGATCCACCTGCCTCGGCCTCCCAAAGTGCTGGGATTACAGGCTTGAGCCACCGCGCCCGGCCCCCATTTTATGCTTTCTTAAGAACTTGAGAGATGACGTTGCATTGCATATTTTTCTATAGTCTTACCACATTGACTATTATATTACCAGTCTTTTTAATTCTCCCTAGACGGGGTAAAAAGTGATTCACTGTGCCTGAATGTTTTTGTTTGAGACAGAGTTTCACTCTGTTGCCCAGGTTGGAGTGCAGTGGTGCGATGTCAGCTCACTGTAGCCCCTGCCTTCCAGGTTCAAGTAATTCTCTTGCCTCAGCCTCCTGAGTAGCTAGGATTGCAGATTCCTACCACCGTGCCTAGCTAATTTTTGTATTTTTAGTAGAGATGGGTTTTCACTATGTTGGACAGGCTGGTCTCCAACTCCTGACCACAGGTGATCTGGACGCCTTCCAAAGGTGCTGGGATTACAGGCATGAGCCACCATGCCCAACCAACCGGAATTTTTTTGTTTTTGTTTTTGAGGCAGGGTCTCACTCTGTTGCCCAGGCTGGAGCACAGTGGTGTGATCTCAGGTCACTACAACCTCCACCTTTCAGGTATAGGCAGTTCTCTTGCCTCAACCTCCCAAGTAGCTGAGATTACAGGCACTCACCACCACGCCTGGCTAATTTTTGCATTTTTTAGGAGAGACGGAGTTTCACCATGTTGGTCCGGCTGATCTCTAACTCCTGACCTTGTGATCCACCTGCCTCAGCGTCCTAAAGTGTTGGGATTACAGGTGTGAGCCACCCTGCCAGCCTTTTGTTTTGTTTTTGTTTTTGAGATGGAGTTTTGCTCTGTCGCCCAGGCTGGAGTACAGTGGCACGATCTCAGCTCACTGCAACCTCCGCCTCCTCGGTTCCAGTGTTTCTCCTGCCTCAGCCTCCTGAGTAGCTGGGATTACATGTGTGCGCCACCGCACCTGGCTAATTTTTGTATTTTTAGTAGAGACACGGTTCCGCCATGTTGGTCAGGCTGGTCTCGATCTCCTAACCTCGTGATTCTTCCACCTTGGCCTCCCAAGGTGCTCGGATTACAGGCGTGAGTCACCGTGCCCTGACTCTAATAGGCTTTTTATAAGAATTCTTTTAAAAAGTTTCTACCAGTTTGCTTATCTTAGTTAATTTATGTTATGATTTAGAGGGTTTATTTTATCTAGTTAGATCTCATTCTTTTTTTTTTTTTTTT